TGGGCCATGTTATGCTCCAGAACATCCTCCTGGCAATTTCGTCTCATCTACGAGGTTCTCGCCTTCCAATCCACAAACAAGGTACTTTTCAGAGAGCACAGGCTTTGTCTCGGATTCTTCCATGCCGACCCACCCTCACGGCAATGTACATAGAGGAAGATATCCAGATAGGGCATGTGCTTCTTCAGCTGAACCTCTCGCTTCAGCACATCAGCGAAGCGCGTACGGTCGGTATGCCCTTAGTAGAGATGGTTTTGTTCAAACTTCTGGATTTTGTCAAATGTAATGGGCCTACAATTTTATAGCTCTAGCTGGTGCTCGGCAGCTGCAGTTACTACTGCCGTTGATACCGCCTCATGTTCTTTTATTTCAGATGGGGCAAATTAAATTTTAGTTGCATATCCTAGGGGTAGTTGAGTGATTCAATGTAGCGCAGCAATTAGATTCTGTCCATATGCTTAGCATGGCAGGTGAAATTTTAGAGCACACTGACAGTTAAAGTAAAGCAGGTCGGGCATTTATCTAGCTGCTTAAAATTGCATGGGAGAAAGTTATTTTGCTCTCAGTATACTTTGCAGCCTTGGCCAAAAGATATACATATTGTGCATTCGGGTCTTTGTTGATCTGAGCCTCAGGGGCTTATTTGAAGTAGAACCCATTCGAAATTATTAGCATTCCATGATGAGGCATCATGCCTTTGCTTTTCCTGTTTTGATGGGGATTAGCTGATTGTCTGATTCTAAGGTGCTGATCTAGGAGTTAGGTCACAGTTGTATCAGCTGTGACATGATCTTTGTGCCCCTAAATCATCGTCAATCTGATGTCCTGAATTCCGGTTCCCCTGAGCGAGCTGCGTGGCATGAGCGCATAAGGGTGTTTGGGTCGCCATTATTTTGTGGCAGCGCAATTTAATTTTTCAATGAACGGTAGGGATTTTAGATTGGATTGAGGTCCCTCGATCTGTATACAAGCATTTTCAAAGAACAAAAAAAAGGAAGAAAACGTATACAAACATGAAGCATTGCCTTAAAGGGGGCCCTTCCTCGCTACGAAGCACTAGTCGCCAGCAATAGCATGATGCTCTTTGGCTCCTGGCCGTTGATGTAGCGGGGCTAACACGGACGCCGCCCAGTTCTGAATCTGACGCGCGGGTGAAGAACAGCGGTGGTGAGCAGCCGGCAGCAACGAGCTTGTCAGCTTGACCTGGAAGGGAGAGGACATTCGTTTGTCTGACATGTTTTTGACCGCGTATATTTTGAGTAATTTCGCCTGGCTTATATGTTTGCTCGTGGTCGTGGAGCCGATATGCATTTTCATATGCACTGAATTGATAGATACCTATCATTTCTCACTTTCTGCAAAATGGATTATGAATAAGATTGATACTTGGTAATGAAATATATATTTTTTCTCGAACACGCAGGAGAGTTACGTATCATTGCATTAAGAAGGAATAAAGATGTGTACAAAGACAAAAACTCACACACCCACACCATCGTAATTGAAATATAATGTGCCTATCATTTATTCCTGCAAGGCGGTGAAACCAGTTTCACTTGACTCTTGAGAGGTAGTGGCCCAGTCGGATCAAAGACTAAAAGCCTGTAACAACAGTGATCTCATTTTGGCCCATGGCTATGATGATGTGAGACGAACCCATGCAACATTTCAAGTATAGATTTCTCTTGACCTTTTTACGAATAATATATGGTAGTATATGGTTCAGACATGGATGATCGATTGCCCCTGTGGCCCTGTGCTGAGGTGCACGACGCAGAACAGGACAAAAGCTTCACGTGAACGCGACGCTGCAAACTCACATCTCCATCCGTATTACCACCTACTTGGATTGCTCATAGACATCTAATATTCTGTTGAACACTGTTATTTAATATGATGGGGTCTTTTGTTATAGTCATCCGCAGCAAACCTAGCTTCTGTATCAAGAGGGGAAGGGGGAAAAGGGGGGAAAAGATATGGTGTGCAGTACTGTGAATAGAGAACCCTCATGTGCCATGCCGTGGTATTACTCTTTGTGATGAAAAAGTGGCAAAGTGATGATGTCTTGTTGTCCTTAGTAGTTTCCTGAGAATTAATGTTTAGATAATTAACTGTGTCTTTTTGGAGCTTAGCTTCAGGGCCTCTCTCAACCGACGCTACTTTCTTCAGATATCAGAGGCACACGTTTTCCTTTCAGAATCTTCAGAACCAACCAGCAGGCAAGGGTAACGAACTGGTCCAACATATAGTGTATGATAACCACTAAATGTGTACTCAGTTCCTTCTCAATTTCTTGAACTTTAGACTGATGTGAATGCCTTGTTTGAAACCCACATGAGACTTTCGAAGTTCTCAGAATGTTCAGACATTTCAGTCGGGCAAGTACTCTAGACCATTCAGCAGGATTCAGTGACTGAAGAATGTTGGAAATCAATTTAATCGTGGTCGTTACACGACCGATTAGTGAGTCAATAAGCTTGACCAGAAGCGTCCAGACCTTGAACATTTTTCATGACCAGGATTTGGGTAGTGCTCTTACATCAAGAAAGAGTGAGCCTAGCAAACAATCCAACATATCGCATCAGGATGTTTATACTTAATTACATTGCAGGCATCGTTGTATCTTTTCATTATTATAACAAATCTCGTAGAAACATTTCCAATGCCTGCGTGACGAACTCTCCTGTAATTGAACTGACGTAGGACCTCTTTCTGCGCATGCGTGATACGTCTGAAAGCCTTACGAATCTCCACGTGACATCAGTGATGGCGTCACGCTGATTTTGATACATGATGATGTTGCAGTCTCAAATTTATGCAATACATACAAGTGACAAGTGCATGCTGAGGTGGCAACAAGCCATGGAAACACATTTGAAATCGTCTATTTACCTCTGTCTGTATCCCAGTTTGCTTTTTGCTGGTTGGTCCCACGGAAAGACTGAAGACAATCTGAAGAAGATGCATATGTGCATGTTGGCCTCGCTGTTTTGCAGCAGCTGTTTCGCAGCAGATACGGTGTTCGCAGTTATTTTTTCAGCAGCAGATACAATGTTCGCAGTTATTTCTTCAGCAGCCGCTACAGTAAAACGGCTGCTTCGCAGCGAGACGAACAGGCTGATATATCTATGGCTTTCCCTTTTAGGAAGTGTCAAACATTCAACCTCGGAATAAAAGATAAACATTTGATTTGAGTGGTTTTTTTCCTTTTATCTTATTACAAAAGTGCCTGGAGAGGTTTGCTCATTATGATTGGAAAAAGAGGTTACTGCAAGAAAGAATGATATTTGTTGGAAAGGCATGGACAATTAGATAGAACCCTCGCGGTTGCACTATAATAGAACAGAGATGGCAACATGAGCTGATAACGACCACTTTGTAAATGTTGAGCACTTTCCGGAGCGATACTTTACCATATTTAACTTGGTCTGGCTCAAGAATACCATTGACATGTCCACAATTTTTTTCTTGTAAACAAGAAAAATAGTAGAATAGTGTCCCAATTTTGTTTCTTAACAGAAGGAGCAGCCAGCAGGAAAGTGCCCAGCAAGGAAAGGAACAACATGAAGAGGCATGCTGGAAACCAATTTTTGCTTTGCATGCTGTTTCAGTCGGTAGTGTATGAGATACTTAGATAGAAAGCACTGTTAGTATTTAGGAATGCATTTATCATTACATACTTTCTCTGTTTTTTATTGATGATATTTGGAAAATATTTTTAGCATAAAAATGAACTAAAGTTGTTGTCCTAGCATCAATAATAAAACCCGTGGGAGTACTCTCTACCGTGTATTAGTGGACGATAGAAGTGTCTCCTTTGTGCCTTGATTTCAGCATGACCTGCATGACTATATTGTTGCCGACATTAGAGCAAGTATTACAGTCGCCCGTAAGCCGGCGTAGTCCGACGTGGAGCAGGAGAGAGAACGCGCTCCGGCGTCTCACGACGCGCCCGCTCCACGCCGGCGCAGAGCGCGAGCGCTGCTCTTATTGGCCGATCGAGTAGCAGCGCATTAAATCCAGGCGGGACCCACCACCAAAACGTCGGGTGTCGCAGCCGGCTGCCGGCGAAATCGTTAAACTTGCTCTTAGGCAATAGATCATCTATCCTTTTTACACCTCTTCCTAAGCGCCCAACTTCATGCTGCCAAGTGCCAACCACTACGAGAGAACAACTTACGAGGCACCAAACGTCTTCTTTGATTATTGGAAGCAGGCACATGCACATGCGCACGCGATATTACACAGCAGACAAGCGTCTTCTGTCACACATATAGAGATTTATAGATAGTGAAAGAGCTTTTAGCCTAGCGATTAAGGTGCTTCAGTGGCACGTTGTGACCTTTCTCAGTCAGGTTCGGGTTGAGCTCTTCTTGATGGAACCGTGGGGCCGGTCTTTCTCACCAGCCAAGTTGTTTTAGGGGTTCATAGATATCACGACATCACTGTTTGAAACGTTTAACACGTTCATGTATATTAAATGGTAGACCTCGTGAAGATGTGGCTCTGGAATAGTATTGACATATGGCTATCAAAGATCAGACTATAACTTGGTAAAATGCAACAATTGTCATTTTTACCCCTAAGCATTGACGAACCCCGTTATAAATGGTTTTGGTTGTTTTGCATTTTTTGCAAGATTATAATTGCTTAGCATAACCATACGAGGGACTATATAAGCTCATGAGATTATGTTAGGAATCAAGAATGAATCTAGAAAACTTAATAACTATGAAAGATGGCACTCACTATAAATACACATTATCATTTTCTTATAACTTGTTATTAGAACGGAAAAGTATGTTGTTCATACGACCTAGGTCGTCCGAACCAGCTGTCCGTCCAATGCAAAGTGTAACCATGCAGCCATGATTTGCTGGAGATTTCAACTAATCAGAAGACTAGGTCGGATCACAATGTTTTGCCGGCACGCACACTCACTCCTATGAACATCTTTGAAGACTGAGCCGGCAAATCCTCGAGATTGACAAAGTCACCACTGACGCCTCGGGAGTCGAACCGAGGACCTGAGAGGTGCTACTCGGATGCCTTAACCACTAGGCCAAGACCCCTTTCATAGGATTTTCCATCCATTGGCATCATATCACCAAAAATTCAGTATATTAGGCTTGAAGTACTGATATAAACTTTTTTCCTTCGTGACATGAAGTACATACGCTTGAAGTAGGGATAAATGTGCAGCTGATTCTTTAATAAAAATCCAAAAGTGGTGAACCGAACTGAACTCCAGCGTTGTGTTCCGATTTTTGGATTTGTCGCATATCAGAATTCAGAGCCGATCACACTCCTTACAAATTAACCGTTTGTTGGCACCATAGCACAAGGACCATGCTACTTCTGGGTTATCCGCCGCTTGGCTTTCTCTACTTGATGAGTATTTGGTTATTTCATCTCAATCCTCAAGGGACCACCCTGCAGAGTGCCATGGTGGACCAGTACTTTTGACACATGCCCTGGCCTTCGTTCAGCCTGGCCTCCATCTCCATGACTCCATGCCATGCCCATACGACACCAACTTGAAGCCATGGTGGGGCCAGCGCCGATCAAGCACCACCCTACCCCTGGAGTGATTTCATGGGCTCACAAAATATGCCATTGCTGTGGTAGGTCAGTGTGAGATGGAATCTTGAAGAGCCTCTGCGTCATCATATCATAGCTGAAGCTTCTAGTATGTAGCATGGAAATGGAAGTGATTCCGGAATATATGCTCTGCAAAGATTGATGGCAGGAGCAAAATGGCGGTCGCTTTCTGCCTTTTTCTCTTCTATATGGTTATAAAGTTCTTGCTTTCGAAAAATCATTTGTTTACCGATTCTAGTTTTGGTTATATCAGTTGTCTTAGGGTGCCTTTTTTTCTAGCTGAATCTATAAATGGAAAATCTTGCCAAAATAAGAGGAACTCTTGTAACAAACAGACGCAAAGTTGGTTGCAAGAGTTTTGCTTTTAATTTACTTGTTTAACAACGTTGATTTTGCAGTACACCAAAGCACATTACCAGAACCTACACACGGAGATCGATTCTAGGAGTCACACACTAATACACTACTGGTTTTCAATTTTCATGCATTCGACGCCTTTCTTCCAACAATCAATTTTCCATGCTCTCCCTGCGATTATACGTAATCTGGGTTTTTGACTACTCGCGCAATTTTGTCTGGATGATCAGCGGCTGCGGTTTAGTTTTGTTCAACGCCAATCACTTTCCAGTACCCCCCACACGATAAGGACAGCTCGATCCTGTGACCTTTGTGGCTGCCCTTTTGGTTCTTATGCATCTCAATTAGCCACGTTCTTCATCTTCATCATGTCCCGTGTCCCTCCCCTACGTGACGCCAGTGGCAGAGGACGAAAAATTATCAAGGTGTGGCGGAGTCAATTGCAACGGTAAAAAAAAAAACTCACTACGTTGACAGACAACGATCTGCTCAAAATTTCTTCTTCTACCTCCTTGTGTTAACAGACAACGGAAAAGTCATGGAGACCGGTAGCTTCACAACAACAGGGATGAAGAGTAGGGAATGCTGCTGGAAAAATCAAGGTATGGCATGCACTTGCCATACCTGGACATACTAAGCCCACCGTCACTACGTGACGCGTTTGCATCTACGCGGTTGTGTCAAAAGTTTTTAAGATGTAGTTTTACGCCAATCAATGTATAAACTGAACTTTTTTTCATTAAAAAACGTATACACTGAAGTATATGCAATATATATCCTTTATTGTATTTCGAACAGATACAAACTGTTGAAGAGAGGTTTTGGCAACTACTTGATTCGATTCAGTACTAGTCTTTATTCAAATAATAAAACATATATACATATCTATAAAACTCAGAACACGAGGTACACAAGCACAACCGATGCCAAGCGATCATTTTCACAGAACAATATGAATAAAGCCGCATATTATGCTTGGAAGAATATATTCTAGTCCCAAGTTGAAATGGTATAGTTTTGTACTACACCAACTCTTAAAATATTTTTCCTTATATTACTACTACAACACTTTCTTTACTCAGGGGAAGATTCGATCTTCAGTGTTGTGCTTTTGGGTCAGCTGGCTAAGTCAACTGGGAACAATGAGATAACGATGCATCCCCAGCCAAACCGGGTCGATCACATAATAAGCATCGACAAAAGGTTGCGGTGGTGATCAGGCAGATCTCATCACGGACGCTTGGAAAACCTGATGCTTTGCGTTAATTGGCAGCTTAGCATACGTGGCTCGTTGTCCTCCTGCCAGTTGCTGCTAGCTAGCTAGGGGGTATTCGTTGCATGAGGTCTAAAATTTAGAGGGAAGAATCTTATCATTTAAGAGTATTAAATAAAGTTTAATTACAAAACTAACTGCAGAATCCCTGGTCTAAATCGCGAGACGAATCTAACGAGGGTAGGTAAGCCGTGGTTAGACGCTGGTTACTGTAGCATTACTGTAGCATCACTGTAACAAAATATAGATTAATTAGGTTCGTTAGATTCGTCTCGTAAAGATGTACCTATCTGTAAAAAGGTTTTGTCATTAAATTTTATTTAGTACTCTTAAATAATAAAATTCTCTTTAATGTGACAGGTCTAAATGTTAAATGCTAAAGCAACGAACACCCCCTAGTCGCGTGTCGCTCGTGACAGCTTATGACTTTTCTTCTTGAATGACAGTGCAATTTGTGTTTCGTTCATGTGGTGACATGGAGGTAAGAAGAGAGGCTTCGGTTCTTAATTAGTACGTACTGGTAAGCGTTTATTTTGGACACTGATGCAGCTTCTAATGTACACGTATGCTGATCACCGGCAGTTCACGTTTTCGTGTCGCACAGTTTTCTGAAAAAGAAAGGTTTGTCCCTTTTGTACTCAAAGAAGAAATATAACAGAAAATATACCCTAAACTTTATCTGCAGTTCTGGTCTACCTGTTGTTGCTTTTTTTCACTCACGTGCTCCAATTTAGCTTAGTAAAGATCAACTGTGACCATAAACTTTGTAATATATCTCATGCAGGTTGAGATACGATTATCTTCCGGGTGTGACATGTGACATGTTTGGCATTCTTGATGCTTGGCCATCGCCAAGCAAAAACAGCACCATGTGATGAACACTCGTTGAATTGGTATATTGCTCTATATGATAACTTTTTAATCTAAAATGAACGATGCTATAGGTCCGACTGCTACGGCCGACACGTCCGACTGGCAAAATCAAGTGGTTCATGGAGACATGAAAGGTAGATTCAGGTGATTCATATGCGTCGATCAATCGAAGTCGGATGGAAGGCATACAAAACAGTTGGACCTGAAGCTATTCTCATCTAAAAATTAAAATACATAGTGTCCCTTCAAATTTATGGTCTATTTGGACAGATTTTCTATGATATGGATACAATTAATTGGTTTTTTCTCTTTTTATTAAGGTTATCACATATTGTGGAGCACGGCAATCTAATCCTCTCTCTGTTTTTTTTTTCTTAAAATGAAAGGCACAACAACCATGTCTTCACCCCTCTTCTTTGCAGTTGCTGGTAGTGCTTGTCACTGCCATGACTTTTTTTTTTGGCTAACATTAACCTGAATCCAGTGTCGGATCTATCTGTGTGTTTTTAGAAAATTGCCTCTTTACACGAAAAGACAAGAGAAAGAATGAGATGTAAAAGACCAATAGCAAGTTAACAATGCTAAAATGGAAACAATGATAATATTTAATTTGCATAAGAGGCTTGGATACTAATGCGCAAGAGTTATGATCCTAAATATCTCCACTCATTGGGCCTTCTTCATAATTGCTCGTCATTTACTATATCTCATCCTCCCGAGAACCGAGCCTAGCTCGGTTGGCTATGGGCAGCGTCGCCTGCCCAGCCCGCCCGGGTTCGACTCCCAGAGTCGAGACCCGCGTGTCTCACCGGGATTTATTTCCCAAAAAAATCTCCTCGCCCTTTCCCACTCAAAGCATAGGTAAAGGCCCGAACCGATCTCACATCGGTGACACGTGGCCCTTTGTAAGGGTGGGGAGGGGGGTTCGGGGGTTTTCTAGGCCTGCGTGAGAAGGTCTTCTTCTTAATAGTACGTCCGGGGTTGCTTGCCCCCGCAGGTCTAGTTTTTTTTTTTTTTATATATCTCATCCTCCCGGCAATGAGATATGATTCTACTTCTAAAATCACCGACAATGTTGGAGACCGGGGGATTTTGCTTTGACAATCTTAACATGTTTATCGTTCATGTGATATATATCCTCTTTTTTGATAAAAAGATGCACATCTTCAAGCATCGATTTGGCTTATGGTTCGTGTATAAATATTATAGCCCACCATCCCTTGGGGTCTGATTACATACACCCGTAGGCTACTCTGAGACACGCTTATATAATAGGCCACATGTACGAATTCGCAAGACTTCTTCTCAACAAGACTATGCGCATGTTAGAATATCATAGTTTTTGATACAGCGCACCTCATGTGAAATAGACGAAATTCAAGAAATAGTTATATCCATCGACCAACAAACATCCACCGTGAAAAAGACCAATAGAGAACACATTGTTGCACCATGTGCCAGACTATGGGGTTGGGTGGTCAGCCTCGTCCACCTAACTAGAGCCCCATTTCCTTGCCACCAGAATTCCGGGGCCATCTACTGTCCGATGATGCAGGGAAGAAGCATGCCATGGCATTGCCAATTTTCCATGCAACCGCAGCCAAACCAGTCAAAGACGTTGCCGCAGTAGCAGCGCAGCCTCGCCGCCTAAATTTAGCCGCATGGGATCCGGGCGTAGCCGTGGACTGAGCTGCATGCCATCGCCGCCCCCATCGGCGGGGGGGCCCCGCCGGCCGGTGACGTGTGCCTCTCACCCCCGCCCTCTGACCGGCGCTCGCGCCTCCCGATTCTCCCTCCTCCCAACTACCCTCCCACGCTTCCTCCTCCTTTTCTTTTTTCTTCCACTCGTGTCCCCAAAATCTTTTATATTTTCACTTCAAAAAAAAAAAAAATCTTTTATATTTTCCTGTAAACTTAAATCTAATCAGAAGGAAAGGAATAAAAAATCTCAGGGTTTATAGAGTCTTT